AGACTATCACAGACCCAGACCGATTGAAGGATAGTCTCCCCTGGAGGGGGAAGACATGTGACAAACTCCCCTTCCCACGTGAGTTTGCTACGAGCTCCTGGAGGAGCCTGCTTGCCAGCCTACTGCCCACAGACTATGGGCCCTGCAGAGAAACCTGTAAAAGACTATTTTTACAGTGGGCAAAATATTCAGTTCAGTTCGGCACATCCGAAATTCAGGACTTTGGCAATTCGGCACTTCCGGAATTTGGGACTTTGGCATTTCGGGACTTCGGCACGTGGGCAATTTGGACATTCGTAAGCATCCCTCTTGCCACCACTTACACATCTGTAGGGTTAGGGTAGGGTTAGGGTAGATTTAGGGGTAGGGTTAAGGGTAGGGTAAGGGGTAGAGTTAGGGGTAAGGTTAGGGGTAGGGTAAGGGTAGGGTTAGGGGAATTGTAGGTCCAGGAGAGGGATTATCCTGTTTGTGTGGGAGTGTCAGGGGCGTGCTTAGTTGTGTCTGAAATTATATATAAGCAGGCCATCTGGCCAGATTAAAACATTCCAGCTTGTACTCCCAGAACTTTGTGTCGTCTGGTTACTGGGAGGGGAAAGGGCTAATCACTACTCCAGCTTGTTCCAGTGTGGATGATTCAACTGGGAAAGTCCTTGTAAGGACTAGAGCTCTCAGGACTGAGTGTCATCCAGTGCCCGGGAGTGGATAGAGCCAGTTCCCCATTCGACTCTGTTAAGACACTCCCGACATAAAGGAGTGAAACCGACGTTTAGTAGATCTTCCCCTTTTAGAGACACCGGCACAGTTACTGTAGACCGCCAAACTCCTGAACTGAATACAGGGAATGCTCCGAGCTCCTGAACTGAATACAAGGGAATGCTCCAAACTCCCAAACGGAGAATCATACGAACGCCTTCTCCCCTGGAACAGGCAAAAGAATACTCCAAAGTAGCAATCCCCTCAAACACGAGACCAAGCTCCGTCTTGACGGTAAAACAGGAATCTGATTTATTGAGGGCTACATGCCTGGTATTTATGCAGGTCTCCCACCTGGTGGACACTCCCCTAGGGAACCAGATGGGAGACTGGGACAAGTATGGTACATTAGCCAATCACAGTTGCTCAGGCATAAACACTCCACTTGGTACAAGCAAACCCCTCCTCTCTATCCTGGAGATAATTGGGAAGAAATCCAATTATCTCCATGGATAGAGGCAAAACGCCATTTTAAATGGTATAGTAAAAATACATAAAATTCCATTACTGTAAAACTACCGAATGTATTCAGTACATATACGTATCCCAGATAGCCTATATCTGAGCACACATTATTACCGAATGGCGCTCAGATCCAATAAACACAGATCAATCGCCATGGAGCCAAAGTCTTTTATACTGTTCTTTCGGTATACGAAGGGCTCCATGGGATGGCTATCTGGGTTAAGTCCATTCGTGAAATAAAAGTCCTGAACGGACCGGTGTTCATATGCCGGATGAAAAAGAATGGAGGTCGGTGGTTTCAGCGGTGTTCGTACGAAAAAGTGTCCATTTTGGGTTCCATAAGTTTGTCGATGAACACCGTTATGTATTCGTGCATCTAAGATGGCCGCTGCCTCGTGGTCGGCATACGAATGACGACCACCCAACATACAGTTTCAAATAAGAGGTGTCTGCGGTTAACCACAATGTTCTAATTGAGGCCAATAGGTTAACCAGCAGCACACTCCTCTTCTGGGTGGCCGGCCGTTCGGCAGTTTGTTCGGTAGAGTATTAAATAAACGAACGGGGAAGTACGGACAGGCAATTACACGAGTCCACATGAATCAAACGGGATAGCACTGTAGTTCCAAGACAGAGGGATCTGTCACAGGCTGCAGGAGGGAGCGGTTCCAGGGCCCCAGTCAAGCCTGGGGACAAAGGTGCTGCGGTTTTGTATCAAACTCCCCTTTTTACCTGAGTTTTCCACAAGCTCCTGGAGGAGCCTGCTTGCTAACCTCCTGCCCACAGACTATGGACCCTGTGAAAAATAATGTAAAATTCTTTGCTCATGCAATTGGGATTATATGGAGCTTGTTAACACCTATTAACAACTTGGAATGTTTTTCACCACAGTGTTCTAATTGTTCATTTGTGTGGCTGCAATTCCTATAGACAACCACGCGGTGGTGGCCATCTTGTTCACATGAATGCCGACAGTGGTGTTTGGGCATGAATCTCATGGAACTAAAATCGGATACAGAAACTCCCGAAAACCGCTGGACTTCCATCATCGCCTGCGTTCGATTCTGTTCAACTTAGAAGAGCATTGTTCGGTAAGATCATTCGTCTGGATGAAGGGAACAAGCTCCAGGGTAAGACTATTGACTCTGTTCGGTAGTTTGCTCATTTTCAAACTACCGAACTAGACCGACTGCAAGCCCTGATTCTCTGGAACTGCTTTGGGCATGGGAGCATGAGTGCGGTCGGTCAAATAAATGACTTCCATAGAATTTCTGAACCCCTGAACTGATCTTGGTGATATTTGGATATGTTGGTCACCCAGATCAGGGCTATCAGGGGATGGGACTTTTTGGAAATGTGTGGTTTTTCTGCCTGGAGATAATTGGGTTAATGCATCATCTGATCTAATTATCTCTCAGGCAGAGGGGAGGGATTGTTTGCCTTATGTGGGAGTGCCTTACATTATAAATGTGTTGTTATTGCTTTGGAAATTTGTGTCCCTGTCCCCAACAAGGTCCATGTGGGCATACCCCCTGCTTGGGGACTTGCATGGCACCATTAAAATCTATTCCAGCTTACACTCCAAATTTGTGTGTCATCCTGTTATTGGAGGGAAAGAAGATTTACTCCTGTGTCTGCTGTTCCAGCTTACAGAGGAGTCAACGGGGAAAGTCCTTGTAAGGACTAGAACTAATTCCCCATTCGGCTCCAGGAAGGAGTGGTTCCAGGGCCCCAGTCAAACCATGGCGACTGTGGGCAGAAGTGCTGCGATTTATCCCCAGTTCCATCTAGGAAGCGGTCCTTGGTGGAGGTACCCAGCCAGGGGAGAACCTCAGAGTGTGAAGGGTCATTGGTGATGCGGACTTGATGCCTGGTGGTTACAGGGTAGGTTTCCTCGGGAACCGGCTGGGGAACAAAGACAGAGGCGAGCTGGCCCAAATCATTCCCCAGCAAAACTTCTGCTGGTAACTCCTGCATACGACCACCATTCTGAATGCTTGCTGTGGGCAGGCAGTAGACAGATCCCCCTGTTATTTGACCAATTACCGAACCTTCTGTTCCAGTGGAATCTGGAAACAAGTGCTTCTTGACCAGGGTTAGAGTGGCTCCAGTGTCCCGTAATCCCTGCACCGGTCATTCATTAAGGCAAACGGTGAGGCAGTTATTTGTTGCAACTTGAATTGGGTTGGCCTCTTGTAGAATGCCCCAAGCTTTCTTCAAGTGTTCGTTAGATGAACACATGGGGCTACATTGGGGTGATAGCAATGGGCATCTGCTATAGAAGTTGAAGGCGGCCCTGACCATACCCACTGGGCTTTTTCCCTTCCTTGAGTGCAGTCCCTTTTGATAAAATGCTGGCACTAGTGACACTGGACTCCACTTCATTAGTTGGAACCTGGCGGGTGATGGATTCAAAGATCCCCCACTTCGAGGCTGGAGAGGTGGCCACGGATTAGTTATTGTTCCTTCGTAGCAGAAGCTGTGGGCTGGGACATTGATGTCAGTGGGTATCCATGGTACTTGTCTGCTAGGGTGCTAGGGTTGCGAGTATCAGTTATTATTATTATTATTATTATTATGATATTTATAGAGCGCCATCCAATTCCGCAGTGCTTTACAATGGGTGGACGAACAGACATGTAGTTGTAACCAGACAAGTTGGACGCACAGGACCGAGGGGTTGAGGGCCCTGCTCAATGAGCTTACATGCTAGAGGGAGTGGGGTAAAATGACACAAAAAGGTAAGGATAGTATTAGACTAGTGACAGTTGCAGAAGAGGAATCAGGCAGGAGCTATTAACAGTTTAATTCATACGCTTTTATGAAGAAGTGGGTTTTTAATGATTTTTTCAAGGAGTGGAGACTGGGTGAGCATCTAACAGAGGAGGGAAGCGAGTTCCACAGGAATGGTGCAGCCCTCGAGAAATCTTGAAGGCGAGCATCAGAGGTGGGAGTATGGACAGAAGATAGATGTAAGTCTTCAGCAGATCGTAAGGACCTAGACGGGACATACTTGTGTATAAGGGAGGATAGATAGGTGGGAGCAGCATTATGTAGAGATTTGAAAAGCAAGAACCAGAATTTTAAATTGAGCTCTATATTTTATAGGAAGCCAATGTAGGGACTGACAGAAGGGTGAGGCATGGGAGGTGCGGGCAGACAGGAAGATGAGCCTCGCCGCCGCATTCATTATGGACTGTAACGGCGCTAGTTGGGAGCACGTAAGACCACTGAGAAGCGGATTACAGTAGTCAAGGCGAGAAAGGACAGTGGAATGGACCAACACCTTAGTCGCATCTGGCGTTAAGTAGGGGCGGATGCGCGCAATGTTTTTGAGATGGAAATGACAGGATTTGACGATAGATTGAACATGAGGCTTGAAGGAGAGGTCGGAGTCAAAGAGAACACCTAGGCAGCGAGCCTGCGTGGTGGAGCGGATGGTAGCACCGTTGACTTGGAGGGAGACAGACACAGGAGTAACAACACTTGAGGGAGGAAAGACCAGAATTTCAGTTTTGGTCAAGTTTAGTTTAAGGAAGTGGGCAGCCATCTAGTTAGAAACAGCAGAGAGGCAGTCAGAGACACTAGTCAAGAGGGACGGGGAGAGATCAGGAGAGGACAGGTAGATTTGCGTGTCATCTGCATAGAAATGATATTGGAAGCCAAAGGAGTTAATGAGTTTACCAAGGGAGGCAGTATAGATGGAGAACAGTAGGGGACCAAGGACTGACCCTTGGGGGACACCAACAGAGAGGAGTTGGGGAGAAGAAGTAGAGCCAGAGAAAGAAACACTGAAAGAGCGCTGGGAGAGGTAGGAGGAGCACCAGGAGAGAGCAATATCTTGTAGACCGATATTGCGGAGGATGAGAAGAAGCCGTTGATGATCAACAGTGTCAAAAGCTGCAGACAGGTCAAGGAGAATTAGGATAGAGTAGTGACCACGAGATTTTGCAGCGAGTAGATCATTGGATACTTTGGTCAGTGCCGTTTCCACAGAGTGCTTAGCGCGGAAACCAGACTGAAGCGGGTCTAGCAGAGAGTTGGACTCGAGGAAGTCTGTCAGTCTCGCATACACAATTCTTTCAAGGATCTTGGATGCAAAAGGCAGTAGCGAGATAGGACGATAGTTGGATGGGGAGTTAGGGTCAAGATTGGGCTTCTTTAGAATTGGGGTTACAGTTGCATGTTTGAAGGGCAATGGAAATATACCAGAGGAGAGAGAGAGATTGAGCATTTTAGTGAAAGGTGGATAAAGAGAAGAAGACAGAGTACCGATAAGATGCGAGGGAATTGGATCTAGGGAGCAGGTGGTGGGGCGGGAGGACTGGAGCAGAGCAGAAACCTCTTCTAATGTAGCGGGTGCGAATGAACATAGAACAGCATTTAAATGTACAAGGTGCCATGATGTCTAGTTGAGAGGAGAGGTTGGAGTAGTTCTTCCATTGTCTTTATTCGATACGCTTGTATCCATCCAACAGCAGCTTGGCACATTTGGCAGGCCCATTCGAGAGAATCTTTTTTGGCTATTTTAACTCCTGAAACCGCCGCCGGTATGCTTTGGGGATGATGGTATGCCGAGCCAGAATAACCTCCTTAACCTGGGCATAGTCCCGGATGTCTTCGTCCGGCACTGCTCGGTATGCCTCCACTGCTCAGCGAGAAAATTTGCCAGTCAAAAGTGAGACCCAATCCACAGCGTTGATTTTGTGCAAATTTGCAAGTGTTGGAGGAAGCCATCAATATCCTCCTCAGCTTTCACAACATTTTAAAAACCCTATAGGGGATCTTCAGCTTACCTCACAGGGTTGGTGAAGCTGCTGGTGATCCTCCCAGAGACTGCTGCTTATATCTGGGTCTCTTGAACCCTTGTGTCATGAGGTATGCATCTACCTTCGGAGAGAGTTCTCACCACTATCTCTTCAGAGGGGTGCCCGCCATAGAAGGACAGCTCACCTCCTTCTGGAAGTCAGTCTAGTCTGCCTAAGACAGGGTTGAGGCGCTGCTGGACCGGTCTTGCTCCATCATTTCAGGCAATCAGAGCAGCCTTTGACTTGTTGCTGGCTACCTTGCCTCCCGCTTCCAAAATCTCCTTCAATGTGGTCCGCTTTAGAGCTGTAGAGTTTGTCTCCATTCACCATTCATTCGGAGACTTTGCTTGAGGGTCAGCTACTGCTAGCTTCCACACTGCTGCCACCACTCATAGTGGAACTGCACTACCTCGACAGGATATCTCTGCTAAAGATTGGACCGGCCGTTAACAAAGTTCAAGCCGAAATTAGTTCCATAGCAAATGTCCATTCGGCCACTCAATTTTCTGGAGCTCCTCAGGAAGCAATTGGTCCTTTTAGTCCATACTCTTCTGGCTGGTTGGGAAGTGGGGTAAAACATAGGGGTAAGTTGACAGGGCATGGGACAGGGGTTCGGCTGAGTTCTGAGGACCTTGTGGTTCTCTGGAACCAAATGCCCACCAGGATAGAGGCACTCCCAGGTGTTTAGTATGAAGAAGGCACAGCACTGAGCCAGGGGTAGTGATATAGCTCCTTCAGGGATAACTTGGGTTAAAATAATAGATGGTTCACCACAGGGCCCAGTCATACTCTTGATGGGCTGCGGCACCTAACCAGGGGGTGGGAGTGGATATAGGGGCTATAATGGGGGAATAGAAGTTGTAGTGGAGGAGAGTGGCTGGAGTGGGTGGGGGGGAGCGTAAGAGCTATATTGGAGCCCCCCCCAAGGCTTTCTTTGGACCAGGGAGGGGAAGTCCGGGTCTCTGGTGATCCAATGGAAAGGCAGCATGTCTTCACACCCAGTGGATGCAGGTCACTCATACTGGCAAGCTCTGAGAAATGTATCAGAGTATTGCTGTCGGACCTCATAATTGAAGGGTGCAAGATGAGGAGAACAAGTGAGGGATGTGGAAAGAAGAGGAGAACACATGAGGGAAGTGGAGAATTGGAGAAAGAGAGGGTTATGGAGACAGAGGCATAATAGGGGAAGTGGGAGAGGGAGGTACGGATAAATGAATAGAGGGGGATGGAGTGAGATAAAGAGGGGCAGATAGGAATTGGAAATACAGTACCTACACCCCCCCACATGCAAACTAAATACCCACACATGCACACTAAAACTTCACACAAATATGCTCCTACATACAGATTATCATTCAACCACATACCCTAAACCAGTGATATTCCACTATATAACCAGTCAGAGAGTCTCACCACCCAGTCACACCTACTCATAGTTACATAGCTAAAAAAGAGACTTGCGTCCATCAAGTTCAGCCTTGTTCACATTTGTTTTTGCTGTTGATCCAAAAGAAGGCAAAAAACCCAGTCTGAAGAGCTTCAGATTTTGGAACAAACTAGGAAAAAAATCCTTCTTGACCCCAAAATAGCAGTCAGATTTGTCCTTGTTATATCCCTGTATGTTATGTTTTTGCATAACATACAGGGATATATGTTTCACCATGTCACATTCACACACTAGCGCTCTACACAAATACACCCGTCATTCACATGCACTCAGTGTTTTTCTAGTCCCTGATCCCACTGACCCTTGTTTTTACCATCTGATATAATGTTGTGTATATGTTTATCATTTGCTGTTTTTTTCTTTTTGATTTTCACAGCCACATGTCTTTCATTTTCATCTAATTGTAATTCAGACCCTTTATAAGTTGTGTTCCAGTAAAGCTATTAACTGTGCCGGACCCGGTATAACTCACTATGTATCTTTGGCCATGTTTAGACCTTTCATTGAATTTAATAGCACAGTGCAGGTTAATCAGACTCAGGGACAATAAATGTAAAATGATGACATTACAGCAAGTGTCCTTGGGTGACACAGTCTCTGTTGACCTCGTTATTATCGTAATTACCGTACAGGTCTCAGGATGTGAGCCGGTAATCGTTACTGTAATACATAATGGGATTCATTGAAACAAAGTTTTAATTAGCAGCTTAGGGCCGTGTTTAATTAGCTAGAGGATTATGTCTAATGATACGAATTGTAGAATATTTTATACGCAATTAGATCCAGAGGGATTCAGACATAGAAAGCAATGGTTTATTGGTATTATGTGTATGTTGTACTCGATATGTGTGTCCAAATAATTTTATGAACGGGCTGCTTACATTAAAGACGACACAAAATGGCTCTAAATTATGGAAAAGGGGCAGTATGACGTAAGCAAAGAGAAAAGAAAGTTATAAAGCCGAACCCCTCACACTAATAAGAATTAACTGAGATCCTTCTGCTTTCTGTAAAAGAATTGAACTGACTGGAGCTACTAGACTATTGAGGCCATATGCCTCGTCTCACTAATCTGAGTATATATGTAAAAAAATAGAGGCTTTTTTATGCCTGTAACATTCCAATGTCAATATTAAATAGGATATATCCAGGAATAGACTTCAGGCACTGACAGATTTCAAATACAAAGCAATTTTATTGGGTCAAAATGCAAAGAGCAAAGACCTTTGTTCAAAATGTTTCTCTTTGCATTTTGATCCAATAAAACTGCTATGTATTCGAACCCTGTCAGAGGCTGATGCCTCTGATATATAGATAGATAGATAGATAGATAGTGACGGATGATAAGAACTATTCGGCCCATCTAGTCTGCCCAATTTTCTAAATACTTTCATTAGTCCCTGGCCTTATCTTATAGTTAGGATAGCCTTGTGCCTATCCCATGCATGCTTAAACTCCCTCACTGTGTTAACCTCTACCACTTCAGCTGGAAGGCTATTCCATGCATCCACTACCCTCTCAGTAAAGTAATACTTCCTGATCGTTTTAAACCTTTGCCCCTCTAATTTAAGACTACGTCCTCTTGTTGTGGTAGTTTTTTTTTTTTTAATATAGTATCCTCCTTTATTGTGTTGATTCCCTTTATATATTTAAATGTTTCTATCATATCCCCCCTGTCTCGTCTTTCCTCCAAGCTATACATGTTAAGATCCTTTAACCTCTCCTTGTAAGTTTTATCCTGCAATCCCTGAACTAGTTTAGTAGCCCTTCTCTGAACTCTCTCTAAAGTATCAATATCCTTCTGGATATACGGTCTCCAGTACTGCGTTCAAAACTCCAAGTGAGGTCTCACCAGTGTTCTGTACAATGGCATGAACACTTCCCTCTTTCTACTGCTAATACCTCTCCCTATACAACCAAGCATTCTGCTAGCATTTCCTGCTGCTCTTTTACATTGTCTGCCTACCTTTAAGTCATCAGAAATAATCACCCCTAAATCCCTTTCCTCAGATGTTGAGGTTAGAACTCTATCAAATATCCTGTACTCTGCCCTTGGGTTTTTACGTCTAAGATGCATTACCTTGTACTTATCCACATTAAATATCAGTTGCCACAGTTCTGACCATTTTTCTAGTTCATCTAAATCATTTGCCATTTGGGTTATCCCTCCTGGAACATCAACCCTTTTACATATCTTAGTATCATCAGCAAAAAGACTTACCTTACCATCAAGACCTTCTGCAATATCACTAATAAAAATATTAAAGAGAATGGGTCCACGTACAGATCCATGAGGTACCCCACTGTTAACAAGACCTTTCTTTGAATATACTCCATTAACTACAACCCTCTATTGCCTGTCACTCAGCCACTGCCTAACCCATTCAACAATATTGAAATCCCCCAAAAATAAAAAATATCACTCAGTGGTGGTAACATTGGTCAACTGCTGCATTCCAATCACAGTTGTAGTGAACAGAACCTCACCTCGGACTTCTGGAAGGGCCTGCTTGCCAGCCTCCTACCCAAGGACTATGGCCCAGGTATTGGACCTGGGTGTTAGGCCTCGGGAAAGGCTATGTTCGTCCCTTTCCCCTTGTCTAGTTCAGTGTATAGTATTCACTGAACTGAATAGACTTAAGCTGTTCATATGCCAAACTAACTCTCGAACAGTTGGACCACCCAGGGGAGTCATGTGCTGCCAATTGACCCTTTTGCCCTAATTAACACTTTGAAACCACAATGTTCTAAGCGGTCGACTGGGTGGCCGTCATTTGTATGGCCGAACACGTGGTGGTGGCCATCTTTAGCTGCGAACATGTACAGCGGTGTTTGATCGTCAAGTGCATGGAAGGCGTGAACACCGCTGAGACTTCCACCTCCACATACGTTCGGTTCCATTCGTCTGGGAAGAGCG